CCTGGAGAAACTTCTCTAGCGTCGGTCTTGAGCGTTCGAGAAATTCCGCAGCTCTGGGACCGAGGTTCCGTTTTGGCGGAAGACGAACAGATATTGCACTGCCGTGGAATTCCAACAGTTTCTGTTCCAACACATAAAATTCCGCGTACTTTCTAGCAGTGGGGAATGAAAAGAAGAAAAAGAGGCACAGTAATTAAACTTGAGGTTGAAATATGTTATAAAATTCACAAGGGATATCGGTAAAGACAACTTGTAAGGCCACGAATAGGAACGACCCGCCAACTTGTGATAAATTTCAAAAAGTGGAAGTGGTCCCACGTCTTCAACCCAACAGTAAACAGCAGCCTTAATGTTAACCCTGGACCTACCCTAAAACCTACAGTTAAAACATACCCAAACCTTAACACTTAACCGTATAGACCTTAAATATACTGGTGTGTACCGCGAACAGAAATTAAGTTCTAAGGGAATTAGAAAGTTGAACTTTCAAAACCGGTATATCAACACACAGGGAAAGTTGGGGGACCCCACGATGAGTCGTATCCCTCGCAAATGTATCAAACAGCGGCAGAATACCAGCGAAACACGTGTCTGGGCCTTTTAGCTACTATCTGGGTTGTTAGGATGGTAAGTTACAAAATCAACTTAACAGTAACCCGCGTCTAAACCCAACTCTGACCCCGACGTCAATCTTAAGCGTAACCCTTAACTTAACCCTAACCCTCTAATCCGCAATTTAGCGCAAAGGCACATGTAATACTGGGTGGTCCCTATTCCGGGGCCCTGTTTAAGCGCAGCCGTGGAAGTCATCCTTACCGTAATCTCCCCCCTCCCCCCGTAAAATTCAAGGAGGGGTACCAACTCCCCCGTCTTAACCCTAACCCTTCTTTCCCTGGACATTGACGCATTCAGGGCAGGTTCCCGTAACCGCCGGTCTTGATTTTCCTTCTGAGCTAGCGCAGCAACACGCAGTCTCGGCCAGGCACTGACTGAAAGGTGTTAACGTTCTCAGGCAAAGACGCTATAAACACACTTTACCAACCCCCATAAATGTCCCCGCTTCCGTTGGCTGAGAGGCGAGGAAGGGGAGGAGAGACGACGAAGACCAGAAAATAACTGCTATGCTACGGTCGCGAGACCGGACGGCAGCAGCATTCCCCTTGCAGAACGCAGAATCATAGAACCTCTGTCGCGTGAAAGTTCAGCGACAGCTTTCGGGAGAAA